ACCCATACCTAACAATAAATATTTTTTTTGAAAAAGTTTTTGTTTTGCTTTGTTGCAATGGGGATTGAACTCATTTGTACTGAGCTACATCCCCAGCCCTTTTTTAAATTTTTTTTTTTTTTTTTTTGGTACTGGGGATCGAACTCGGGTCCTTGTGCTCCTTTTTTAAATTTTTGAGACCGTTTTGCTAAGTTGTCCAGGCTGGATCTGAACTTGGGCCTCCTGTGTCAGCCTCCCAAAGTAAAAGAACAGTTTCTATAGCTCAAATTGCAATTTCTCATTTGAAAAATGAAATCAAACTTACAGAAGATTTTTAAAAAATTCAATGGGCTGAAACTTCTAATTAAACACATTTTATAACTTGCAGGAACTGTTAGGTTAAATTTATGTAGGTAGTGTTCTTTTTTTTGTAGGTAGTGTTCTTGTTTTTGAAATATACTAATTTTTATGCTTCATAACATACATAGAAATAGGGAAGTAGAAGAATAAAACTACACAGAACTTAGTCTAGCAGAATATATATGTAAACAGTATTGTAGGACCTGAGGAATTCTTAAAAGTTTAAAATTAATTTTGGTGAGAGGAAGAGAGGTGAGTATTAACAAAGCAGTGTTAGGAAGGCAGAACAGTGCACGCCTGTAATTCTGGCCCTCTGGGAAGCGTGGGCAGGACACTCACTGATTAATGTTATTGTTGCCAAAATCAGGCAGATTTTGTTCTGGGGGAAAATGTGGCATCTCTTAACAGTATTTCTTTCCTAGAAGGAGTTGCTTTTTTCTTATCTTAAGGATATTTGAAACTCTTTCCTTAGCTTTACTTCCTTTGTTAGTTCCTCTATAGAGGCCCAGCTATTCTACAGTAGTCCTATAGCTTCCCAGTGGCTTGCTCCCCTTTACTTTTGTCCTGTTTTGGCAGTACCTTTGGGAGTCTCTTGAGGAGAATAGCTCTCTTTTGTTTAAGAGCCATCATTTATTCCTATTTTGGATGATAGTTTTCTTTTATTCTGGTTTCTTAATCAGAACACTTGTCTATTTTGCTGAAATTCTATAATTTCTGATCATTTATGACATTTTTTCCTTCTTTTCAACCCTAGACTTTCCTTTGTTCCTTTTTCCATGTTGACCCTCGTCTCAATTTGAAAAAGGTGATAAAATGGATGTACTCAGTTTATATTTATTTGGCAGAACTTACTGTATGTATGTAGTTAATGTTCCAGATTCTGTGAAGAAGATAAAGGAGTCTCAACTTTGGTAAAGCTTGTATTGATGGGGGAGATATATTAAGCATATCAGTAAATAAATAACAGATTGTAAATAGGAATAGATTAAAGAAAGTAATTTGGGTGGGAGACCCAGATGGAGTACCCTATTAATTGATTTCTGAAGGGAAAAAAAGCCTGTCTCATGAAGAGCTTTGGGGAGAGAGCTCTTGATAGAGGTTGGCAAATACAGATGGGGCAGAGGGTGGAGCTTGTTTTGTGAGAAGAAAGACATGTTGGGAGTGTAGGGAACAAAGTGGTATTGTGACATGAGATTGGAGAGAAAGGCGGATGTCAGATATTATGGGAACTTGGGTCTTCAGTAAGGGATTTTTGCTTTCTTCTAAATAAAATGTAAAGCAAACAAAAGGCTTTTCATTATCAAAGCTAATGAATCTATGAATTTGATTTTTAAAAAAGATAATAGTGGCTGCTGTGTAGATAGTGGGATTGACAAGGGTGTTACCTGCATTGCTCCAGGGGAAGAAAAATGAAGGAGTGTGGATATATTTTGCTAGGAGTACCTGTGTGGTGATACAAGAAACAAGATGAGTCACAAGTGACAGATTATTCTGCTTGTATAACTGGTTGGTGCTATTTACTAATATGATCAAGGTTGGAGGAGAAACATACTTGAGGGAAGAAATAAAGAGTTTTAGTGCATTTGAAATGCTTATGAGTCATTCTTGTGATAATCATAGGCAAATTTAGGGAAGAGATCAGAGCAGAAGGTGAACTTCAAGTCATCCTAACAGCAGTATTTAATGCTGTGGGTCTATAAAGGTTAAAGAAAGTGATAGGTAAAGAAAGTAAAGACAAGTCCTGAAGCTTGAACATTAAAGACAAGGAAAATGTAGGGAAGGAAACACAGCAAAGCTGGTGAAGAAAAGTAGCTGGTAGAGTGGAGACAGCCTGGAGAACCTGGAAATCAAGTGAAGAGTAATTTCACAGAATGGAGTTGTGGTCTTTGTTGAATATTTAATAGATGGTGTATGATGATAAAAAGTGAAGTGTATGATGATAAAAATTTAAGTTTGATAAAAAGGTTATTTTTCTGGATGATAAGTTTCATTGAGTTGAGAACTATATTGGATGTATTGAGCAAGTGGGAGGTTAGAAAGTACAGACATCTCTGAAGAAGTGTGCAGAGGTGAGTGAGTAGCTAGAAGAACAAACTTAAATTCAGTGTTAAACTTTAAAGGATGCAGTATATAAAGCTTTACCTGTCACTTTTAAACATTTTTATAAGCAAGAAATTCTAAGCAAAAATACGCAGTGACCAAGCTTGCCTTATCCACACCCACACCCACTTTCCTTGATTATTATTTTGAAGCAATTTCCATAAAATTTCAGTTATAAGTATTTTATATGTTTGTAAAAGATAGACCTTTAAAAACATATTACCATTATAACATACAAAATTAACCATTCCTTTATAGAGAATATTCTAACTTCTGTCCAGTTTTTTCAGTTTTCCCATAAATGATCTTAAAGTTTCAAAAAAAAGATCCAAAATAAAGTTCACAAATTGCATACAGGCAGTATCTTTTTTAGCACTTTTTTGTATTTTCTGTCTCTTTTATCCCTTGTAAGTTTCACATTGAAAGAACTGCCTCACCTGTCCCTTTATGTGCTCTATGTATCCCCATGATGTAGATTAACACATTGAATAGAAAGATTGCTTTGCTTTGCTTTGCCTTGCCTTGCCTTGCCTTTTCCTTTTTCCTTTTTTTTCTTTCTTCTCCCTCCCTCCATCCCTCCCTTCCATTCAAGACAGGGTCTTGCTATGTATTTCAGGCTGGCCTAGAACTCGCTGGGATTTTTCTGCCTCAGGCTCCAAAGTGCTGGTATTACAGATGTGCACCGCCATGCCTGGCTACCTCTGTTTTTTTCTGAGTTGAAGTTGAATCTAAGCATTGATAGTACATACTGGATTTTTTTTTTAACATGACTACTTAATAGGTAGCAGTTATATACTTCTTTCAGCAGGCAATTGAAGCCTGCTTATTTCTCTTAGTGATGTTAGCAGTTAATGATGTATAGTGCTTAGATCTTTTAGTTTGTTACAGGTTGAAAAATAATTCTCTGATTTTAAATAATTCTGATTCTATCAGTCTTTTAATTATTACCTTTAATAATTATAAACTAGAAAGCTTTCCTTCATCTGCTCTTCGGTTTACAAATAAGTCCTACAATTTGAATAAAAAAAAAAAAGCAGGATAAGTGCTTGGTGTGGGCCCACACCTGTAATCTCACCCCTTGGGAGGCTGAAGCAGGAGGATCCTTACAGGTTCAAGGCCAGCCTGAACTACATAGCAAAACTCTGTCTCAAAAAACAAACAAGAAAGAAAGAAAAAAGAAAAGGCAAGATAAATGCTTTTAATATATACTCTGTTACAGTTGTTTGTAATTGATGGTCAAATTGTCTTATCATGGTCAGTGGGTGCCTCTTAAAGTTAGACCCTGAGTGATTGTCTTTGATAGCTTTTAATAATGTTCTTGAGTCATCCAGTGTATGTTGAATGTCAGGCTTAGAACTGATTCTCTAAGGATATGTACGTATTTAGAGGTAATTGTTACTCTTTTGCCTTTTTCTTTTTTCTGTTTCTGCAGTAGTTTATTGTGTCTTTCACATTGTTTTCTTTAGTTCTTGGAATATGAATTTTCCTATTTGTTTTTATCCGTTTACGACTGTGACTTTAGGCATTTAGGAAATTTTTGTTGTTGTTACTGGGGATTGGACTCCAGACCTTGCACTTGCAAGGTAGGCCGTGGAACCACTGGAACCTAACCGCTGAGCTAAATCCCCGCCCCAGGAAATTCTTTTTCTCTTTTGATGCAGGTATATATTAAAATAGGTGTGGTTTATTTGTTTGTTTTTGTTTGTAGTGCAGGTGATTGAACCCAAGGTCTCATGCATATTAATCTTGTGTTCTGGCCTGGAGCTTACATAACTAGCTCTCCCCTGCCCCCTTTTCAAATTTTATTTTGAGACAGAGTCTTGCTGAGTTGCTCAGTCTGTCTTGGACTAGTGATCCCATCAGCCTCCTGAGTGGGATTACACGTGTATGCCACCATTCTGGGCTTATTTTTTGTTAAGGTTTTGTTATATTTAGCATTTTTATTTGTTTAGAGCGGATGTGTAACTTCTTTAATTAAGTGACCCTTTTTGTACATTTTCTCTATTGCAGTTCCATTTATGGAACAATATTCTCTTACTAAATACCTCATCAGTGGCTTAAGTGAATGATACTTGCTTTTCTAGTGTTTGAAAAATACTTTCTATGGATGCTCTCTGATTTTTATTGGAATTTTAATGTATTATGTCTAAGGTCAGTTTTCCTTCTGCATATTAGACATTTCAATCTGTAATTCAAGTAGGGTACAAAGAGGAATGGAATTTTTTCCCTTATATTTTACTATTTTTAGCTTGGAAACAGGAGGGAAAAAATGCAGAAAAATTGCTGTGGAATTGTTTGCACTGGGACTGAAATTAAAGCAGTCAAATGAAGAAACTTGTGTTGTCTTCCAAAATTCCTCATAACTCATGTATTTTGTGGATCTGAATTCTGTTGTTTCCTTTTTTTTCTATGTGGCTGAGGGGGACATATGCTGCAGTTTTATAAAATATGCCAGGAAGCTTATCCTAGTGCTATTTAGAAAATAAAAGGAAGACAATGAGAGCTTGGGCAAACAGTTCTTGCAAAGCCCTAAAATATATCACTTTTATTCACCCATACAGAAAACAAGCATGAGGCCAAGAGGAGGCGAACAGAGAGAGTTAGGAGAGAGAAGATAAATTCTACAGTAAATAAAAATTTAGAAAACAGAAAGAGGTCTCGAAGTAACAGCCATTCAGATCATATCAGACGAGGAAGAGGAAGACCTAAAAGTGCATCTGCCAAAAAACATGAGGAAGAAAGAGGTATGAATAAATCCAAGCAGCTTTTTCTCAAGTATTAAATTGATCAGAGATCTCAGACAGTAGTGAAGAAAGTGGAGGCCTTAAGCTCCTATAGTTAAAATCATAACTCATATTTTAGTTTGAAAGCATTTCCTCTATGGTAGATGCTTAATTAAAAAAAAAAACAAAAGGGTTGGGGATTTAGCTCAGTGGTTCCGCCGCCTGCCTCTCAAGCGCAAGGTCCTGAGTTCGATCCCCAGTACCCAAAAAATTAATTAATTAATTTTAAAAAACCACAAATTCTTAGTGGAAATCTAAAGACTTAAATTAGGTAAAAATCCAGTTTGCTATAAACTGATGGTAGTAGAGTTCGGAGGTGCTAATTTGTATTGGACATCTTTGAGAAGCCTAATAAAATTATTGTAGTTTTTTAAAAAAAGAGAAGACCAAAGTAAGACTTATTTAAAACTGTTATACTGTGAATTTAAAAAATTTACTATTTAAACTGTTCTTGGTGTGAGTTTTTAAATTGCATATTGGGAGATTTGTGTGCTCCCTACATTGAGGCAGCATTTGAATGGTTAGATAAATTCTTCCTGATCCAAAGTGAATTTCTGTTTTTCCTTACAGGTGTTCTTCTTTGTTCTGACAAGTAATATGTCTACTAATGACTGGTTTTTAGCTATTAATTAAAACTTTAGCTTTTCTTTTTCTAAAGATTTCTTTATCTTTTGTATATATATCTTTAGTAGAAGTTTTATCACAAAATATTTCAACATAAGAATAGAGAGAATAGCATAAGGCACCCCTCTATGCCTATGAATATCGCTTTAAAAATGAGACTCAACTGGGTACAGTGGCCTGTGCCTGTAGTCCCAGCTACTTGGGAGGCCGAGGCAGGGGGATTGCTTGAGCCCAGAAATTTGAGACTAGCTTGGGCAGTGTAGTGAGACTGTGTGTGTGTGTGCGTGGGGGGTGATTTTCAAGCCAGTAATTAATTATTCTTTGTAATACTTTAAAAACTTGGGGCCGGGGATTTAGCTCAGTGGTTCTGCCTCCTGCTTCATAAGCACAAGGTCCTGAGTTTGATCCCTGGTACCAAAAAAAAAACCAAAAAAACTTTTGGCAAGATGATTTCATCTTAAGTGAAATGCATTTATAATTTTTTGCATTATTTGCATTATGCTTTGCCTTTTTTCTTTAGTCTTAGGTGCTCAGTTGTTTTCTGTGTAAATATAAATTTCTGTTGAGACACAGGATTTTCTACTATTTACCATTTCTCTATGCTTTGTGTGTTTTTATTTGAATAAAGACCTGCTACTGATGGCAGCCGGGTGTAGCTAACTGTATAAGAGTCTGTTAGGGAAAATAACTTTGCTGGTGTCACTGGCTTCTATCAAAATTAAAGGCGTCTTAAGGTGTGACTAAAGAAATAAGGTTTATATTATTATGATATTGATATAATTGACTGTATTCTGTGAAAGCATTTCTTAGGTATTCTTTAATTTCTTGGGTAATTTTACTGTTTTTTTCTCTTTCCTTCCTTGTGCTCTTCCAGAGAATTTGAGTTGTTTGCTTAATTTGAATGTGTTTCTTTAATTAGAAAGTCTTAGGGACTGTTTTAGAAGGGAAACTGGGTAAAGAAGTCAACAGAGAAGAAAGAAAAGAGAAATACTGTTTGATCCAAAAACCAGAACATTCTTTTCAATTGAAGTAAAGGGAATATAACTGAAAGAACAGAGAAGGAATGCTTCTGGTGCTCAGAGATGAGGAAACAGATAATGACGGGTTTTTATAGTTAGTTAAATGAAGTCTGTAGAACTGTGCTAGGACTTTATATATGCAGGCTTGAATTTTTATTGCATGATTACATTGAGAAAAGGATTTATTTGTAAATATTTTTCAGTTTACTATGGAAAGTTTTAAAGAAAGCTATTTGCTTTTGATACAAACTGCACAAAATAGCTCAAAGCTATTTTTGTAGGATAAAATGGAATTTTTTTTTTTTTTGGTATCAGGAATTGAACTCGGGTCCTTGCGCTTGGGAGGCAGGTGTCAAAACCACTGAGCTAAATCCCTGGCCCCTAAAATGGAATATTTTAATGTAGACAGGGGAGTCAACAAACTTTTCCCACAAAAAATTAGATATTAAATACTTGAGGCTTTGTGGACCATACCGTCTATGTCACAACTACTCAGCTCTGTTATTGTAGTTGGAAAGCAATCATAAACCTTAGGTATGAATGAGCATACCTGTGTTCTAGTAAAACTCTATTTTAAAAACAGGAAGTGGCTGAGATTTGGCACCCAGACTGCTGTTTGCCAATCCGGATGTAGACTGTTGTTCTCTAAATAGAATATGGATAGGAACTACAAACTTCGAAATATCTATATATTTTAAAGGCCTTTGGTAATGCTTCTTAGGGCTAAGTAACTAATTTAATTGTTTTCATTGATTCTTTGCTCTTAAGACACTTAAATTTTGAAGAAAGCTTTAACTATTTTAGCAGATGAATTAAGGAATACCTGATAATTATCTAAGAAACAATTTTTAAAAACTTCATTGTTGTTTTCTGTTTTGAAAAAAGAATGGGAAAAAAGAAAAAAAAAAGAAAAAGTCTCTTACCTGCAAGTTTATCCTTTGAAAAGGGTAAAATAAAACAGTCTCTAGTCTAGGGAATACCAGGCATGGTTGAGGGTGGGGATACTACACTAAGCCCAAGGAGACCAGGTAAAAATTGGACCTAATAAATATTGAGTTCTATGGTTAGGCTTATTATATCTCCCCCAGGTAAAAGAGATTGGAAGTAATTTTCTGTAGGGAATCTGAAGAGCCCAAGAGAAAAGGTCTAAAATAAAAATACATACTGTCATTAGCAATTTCACAAAGAAATGGCCTAGTTAGAACTTTGTGATCTGATAACTATAGTTAAGTTCTATTCAAGTGCAAGTGCTTCTAATCAGCCTTTTTGCTCACGCTTCTAAATGTGAACATGTTATCAGGAATTACCTTGATATATAGAAAAAAATAATTTAGAATGAAAGACTGAGACTAAATCTCAAGGAAAGAAAAGGTAATTTGGAGAAAAGTTTTTGCAGGGAGAAGAAAAAAAAAACTACCATTACTCTCCTTAGCAAAAGAAGATATGATAAAGCAAGATCATATCTGAAAGGCAATTGTAGAGATCAGGAAAGTACTTGGAAAATGAATTTCAAAATATGAATTTTAAAATACAGTTTAAAAATTTGAACATAAGTCATAGAAATAAAAAACCAATAGAAAATTCCAGAAAATACAGCAGTAGGGAAAGAGATGAAAAACAAATGTAAAGGAAAAGATGAGAAATTTAGAAGACCAGTCTGAAGTCTGACATCTATAAATAACTGAAGTTTTGGAAAAAGAGCATAGAAGTTGGAAGAGAAGGCAATCATCAGTGAAATATTTTAACAGAATTTTCCAAACCTGAAAGATACTGAGTTTCCATATTAAACACATGATGAAATTTCTGATCCAATGTATAGTTACAAATAGAAATTATACAAAAGCATGTCATTCTGTATTTTTGATTAAAGAAAAGATTTTCAAAGTTTTTCAGGGGGAAAATGAATCAGACGGGTATTTAGAATTAATAACACTGGAATACTAGCGAGCAGCAGATTATATGAACTGATATGACTGATAAAACACTGAACGAAGGATGATAGTCACAAAATAATACATATTACGTGATACTGTTTGTTCTGATGTTTAAGAAAAGATACTGTGCCTACAGTAATAGAAGTCAGTACAGTGGTGCTGGTGAAGGTGGGATTGACTAGAAAAAAGCATGAAGAACTTTCCAGAGTGAAGGATATTTTCTGTCTTGATTGTGTTTTGGGTAACATGGGTGTATTTTGTCAGAACTCATTAGAGGATCTATGTATGTCATTGAATATAAAATTAGCAATCATTTTTTAATTACGTATAAAAAGATTTTGGATTTTCTCAACAGTGGAGCCAGACGGAAGACAGTTTATTGCCTTAACAATTCTAAGGGGAAACCTACAAGTCTTTACTCAAGATAAAGTAATTATACTTCCTGGTATTCAGGGTTTCCAAAATTTCACTACCCATACTCCCTTTCTCAGGAAGCTACTACAAATTACATGCCACCAAAATGAAGCAAATCAAGCAAGAATACTGACATCCAGGACAGAGAGGATCTATATGAGGGAGATGAGAAGCTCCAGTGTGATGTTGAAGAACAGTCACAGGATGATAATTGTGCAGTAGGCCTAGAGAGCAACCATTTCAGATTGGAGCAGGTTGGAAGACTTGGAATGATTTCTTTAAGAAGATAAAACTGATAAAATACGTAAAATATGTTAACATTGTGACCGATTTCTACAACTAGGTTGAATTTGAAATGAAAACTAAGCAAATAGAATCCCTTCTGTAAAAACAATATGCAGGAAGAAGAAAATGACTCACATAATCATGATACTGTAAACACTGAAAATTATGAGCTGCAGATACATCTCCATCGCACTGCGTTTGCCTAGCAAGTGCAAGGTCCTGAGTTTGATCTCTGGTACCAGAAAAAGAAAGTTGATGTTACTGAAATTGCAATTTAGTTAGAATGAAAAGATGACAAGACGAACAGAGTGTTAATGGTGGGGCAAGAGATGCAAAAGAAATCCTAAATTTGCATGGTAGAAAGTGAATATGTAATGCCTAAAACCAGGAAGTAACATCTTATAAAATGTTAGAGACAGGGCGCCCGCCCCCGCCCCCCCCTCATCGAGGATTAAACTCAGGACCTTGTGCTTGCAAAACAGGCACAGTGCCACTGAGCTAAATCCCTGGCCTAAGACAGGTTTTTCTAAAAATAAAAAGAAGCAACTGAAAAACAAAAAATTGTATTTGAAAAGTAGGAAATGTACTTTACGGGCAAAGGACTTCTGTTTTTTACCAAGTTTTGTAAAGATGATTTGACCAAATTACATGCATGTTTAACCTGGATTAAAATGTCCAACAAAATAAAACAAGCAAAAAACCCAAACAAAAATAGAATCACAAAAAAATAATTTGGAGGAATATACATAAAGATGTTAATTATAATTTCAGCTGGTTCATGATTTAATAGGGTTTTTTTTTCTTTTTTAATTTTTCTACTATGAACTTAGATTCCATTTGTAATCATGAGGGAAAAATAGAAATAAATATGGTTATTCTTATTTTCTATAGCAGGGCTAAAGATGTTAATATATTCATTAAGTTACTGTTGATGTTCAAAAGGGACCATCTTCTAAGAAGACAAATTTTTTTTTTTTTTTACTTCTTTATTGGTACATTTTAGGTATACAACACATTTACATTTCTCATTGGGAACTTGTACCTTTACATGATGCATCTTGGTTAAGATGAGAAATTTAATTTTTGTTGAGGTATTTCATACTAGTGAAGAGAAAGAAATACTTGAAATTCTTATAGAAATTTGTAACTGGTAGACCTTGTATGTATAAAACTGTATAGTCATTATTTGGTTTTTATTTCAGTACCTCTGTACTTTTTAAAAAATTTCAATTTAGTATAATGTATATTATATTATGCATAATGTTGTCATTTGAAGAAATACTTCAAAGCATTAAAACATTTTAAAAATTAATGCATCTGCTACCTTGACATTAAGCTTTTCCTTTTTCTTTTAACAGAGAAACAGGAAAAGGAAATTGACATCTATGCTAACCTCTCTGATGAAAAGGCTTTCGTGTTTTCAGTCGCCTTGGCAGAAATAAATAGAAAAATTATCAATCAAAGACTTATTCTCTGATCCTTGTCTGAAGAATCTGTTGAAACTTCTTCAGGATTACATCAGCAAATTCTCAAAGTTATGGACTCTCAGGAGCATTCTGACTGCATCAATAAGGGGCATTGATTGTTTTTATTTATCATTTAGCCTGTGGCACACTTTGGGAGTAAAGCTGTATGCTCAGATTGTTCTGGGATTTCCTTGTTTACCAAGGTGTATTGTCAGTGTTTTGTGTTGGGATATAAGTAAGGGTATTTACAAAACCAAACGAAACAAAATGTTGAATGAATGGATATTAAACATAAAAAGGGGTAGCAAGGGGTAGCAGTAAGGGTGGCAGTATGAAAACTAGGGAAATGAAATGCTTGATAGTTTTCAGATTTGCCACCAGAGATGGAATATTTTAAATACTATCAGAAAGAGTGATGTTTAAATATACATGTATATGTCAGATTTTCAGCACTAACAGGTTGCATATATACAGTTCCTTTACCTTTAATAAACTGGGAATTGATATTTTATTGAATGGGGAATTAAGAATATAAGCTGTAAATTTTGTCCTGAATTGATTTTTTTCCTTGGCCATTTTTAAGACGAGGTATGAGTTATATTTTAAGAGATACTTTCTAAACAGTTTGGAAGTTTGGGTGCTATATGAAGAAAAACATTAAGAATATATCATATTTCAGATGTAGACACCTTGTTTTATTGAATGTAGTTTATTTATTGGTTACAAAAATTTGTCTCCTCTCAAGATGGTGCCTGTTAACCTAAACCTTAGAATATATTTATTACATGCAAAATATTTCTTAGATAGCCACTTTTAAGCAGTAATGTTTTTATCGGAGTGGATGTTCATTTATACATCCTATAATAATTTAAATTGTTACTTAACCTCTGAAAGAAGAAAAATAAAGCTTAATATTGAAACTAAGTAGATTAAATATTGTGGCATAAGCGTTTTGTTCTAGTGAAGTTCCTGAAATACATTTCAGTTCTTAGTTTTTCTGGTGCTAAGTGAACTGTTTATGATTGATGCATAGTAAGTGGCTTTGTATTTTGGCATACCAGTTTCATGGTTAATATGTTCAGTTTTGGCAGAAATTTCCCTTTTCATTCCCTTCTCTCCCAATCTATTTGGAAGTCCCAAAGTCTTATTAGGAGTCAACAGTTAGACATCACCTCTATAGTTAAGAGAATCTCCCTTTTAAAAAAAGTATAATATATATAATAATACATTATTTATGGAGCACAGGGTAATTAGCATATCCATCACAAACATTTTCATTTATGTTGTAAACAATTAAAAATCTTCTCTACTAGCTGTTTTGAAGTATACCATTAATTATTGTCAACCATAATTGCCTTTCAATTTCAACATTAGCATTGTCAGCTTCATCTTTTTATCTTGCATCTCCTATCTGCCCAAAAGAAAACAGGTCTACTTTTTTCCCTCCTTTATATAAATTGGCAGAGGGAGCTTAAATCCTTTGCTCTTAATCTTTGTGTATGCCTGCAGGTGCTACTGCATTTGCCTTTTGTTTAAAACTCCTCGTAATGGGCCAGGAACTTAGCTCAGTGGTGCTGTTACCTGCCTTGCAAGTGCGAGGTCCTGAGTTTGATCCCTGATACCACAAAAAACCCCCACAAAAAACAAAACTACTAGTAATAAGGTTTTTCCATGATTATAATGTACTTTATTTATTTATTTTGGTACTGGGGATCTAACTCGGGTCCTTTTGTCTGCAGGTCAGGCGGCAGAACCACAAAGCTAAATCCCCAGCTGTGAAATTTTATTTTTAAAATATACTGTAGGAAAACTTGATTTTGAACAAGAAAGCTTAAAAATAATATCTAAAGATCCTTTGGAACATACTATTTATGTCCCCCAGAAAAAGCAAGAATATCTTGTAGAATAGGCATCTCTTTAAAGAATTACTGCTGTCAGAGTCAATCAGTTAAAAGCTGGAGACCATTAGAGGAAAGTACTAGATGTTAAAATACTCCCTAGATAGTGAAGGAGATACCATGTAGAAAAGTGTTTTACTTAATGTTCATAATGTAAAATTGTTTGGCAGAGAGGCAAATTAGGTTTCCCTGTTTATGACATCTCATTTAACCAATTTCTTTAAAAATTGTCTTCTCTAGTAGTAAATTACAAGTTCTCTTATTGTAAAGCTCAAAAATTTGTCTAGATGTAATGGTCCCAGTAAATACTTTTTTACTAGTATTGAAGAAATCTCTCTTGGTCAGTGGATATTCTAAGAGTGTAATTATAATTTTTTAAATACTTGATCCAAAATTTGTTCTGCTCTAATACATGTAAGTGGTATGATTATTCAAAATGTCCTGAAATTGTTCTATGTCTGTTGAAGATATGTTTCTTTTTCTTTTTCTTTTTTTTTTTTTGCAACAAGGTCTTGCTATATAGTGCATATAGTTCAGGCTAACCTTGACCTCACTAGTGTAACACAGGCTGGCCTCAAACTCACAGTGATACTCCTGCCTCAGCCTCCTGAGTGCTGGGATTACAGATGTGTGCCACTATGCCTGGCATATTTGTTTTTCAGTAGGAACAAAACGGCATGAAAGTAATTTGAGAGAATTTGGAGCATAGGCTAAAATAGACTTTTTTTTTTTTTTGGTACCGGGGATTGAACTCAGGACCTTGTGCTTGCAAGGCAGGTGGCAGAACTACTGAGCTAAATCCCCAGCCTTGATAGTTGTATTTTTAAACTTCTCCCCTCCCACCAACTCCATAGTATTCCAAAATATTTGGGGGGATAATTTAGCAATTTAATGCTTGAAGTTTGGTTTTGTTGTTTATTAGTTTCAAACATGAACTTTTAAAATACTTTCATGGGGGAGGAAGCCTTGGGTGATATTTAAATGTAAATTGTCTTAAAGCAAGGGAAATACTGCAGAATATTTCTAATGTAGCAGTCAATGGAAATGATCAAACACCTTGAGGCAATTTATATTCTGGTCAGATAAAAATTATACTTACAAAATGCTCAGTGGTTCTGCCACCTGCCTCTCAAGTGCAAAGACCCGAGTTCGATCCCCAGTACCAGAAAAAAAAATTATACTTACGAGGCTGGAAATGTACCTCAGTGGAAGAGTGCTTTTTTTCTTCCCTTTTGTTATTAGTGTATTTTTTTTTTTTGTACGGGGGATCAAACTTGGGTCCTTGCGCTTGTGAGGCAGGTGGCAGCGGAACCACTGAGCTAAATCCCCAAAGTGTATGTTTGCAATACATAATAAATACATTCGTTGTAGGGAATTGGCTCATATACATATTGCACCTCGATCTTTTTTACTTTCTCCCTTTTCTCCTGTACCCCCCCAACCTTCATTAAGAGTGCTTGCCCAGCATGTTTGAGCCCCTGGGTTCAGATACCAGCACCAGGACCCCTCAAAAGTTAGAAATAACTTAAAAATGTAGTCTGAGTAAAGTCACATTTCCTAAAATTTCAGAAGGCACCCTCTGTTTTGTATCCTAAAAATAATTATATAAGTGGAATTTTCCTAAGAATTCAAATTATGTGATTTCCTAAAGTCTAGTAATTGCTCTTGATTCTTTAATTCTGATGGTAAAAATGAGTTCACAATATATTTTTTAACTGCCTCTCAACCTGTGCATTTATCCTTTAAATTTGGAAACATTAAGTGATATATTTAATATAAATGTGTTAATGACATTTAATTCTTTCAAAATATGCTCTGGATACAGGGAGTCTCAATGCCAGTTTATCCCCCACCCCCCGATGCTGGAGGTTGAACCCGTGGCCTCATGCAAGCTAAGAATGTGCTGTACCACTGAGCTATGTATACCTAGCACTTTTTTACCCATTTTTAAGGGGTTTTAGAAGGTTTTTTTTTAATAGAGTTGTAAGAGTTCTTTTATTTTAGGTATTAACTCTATATCCAAATATATGACTTGCAAATATTTTCCTCCATTCTTTGGGCTGCCTTTTGACTCTGTTGTCTTTTAAATTTTGATTAGTTTGTTTTCTTTTGTTGCTTTTGGTATCATATCTTATTGTCAAATCACATAAAAGCTTTCTTCCCCATTATGCCAAATTTAATGTGTTCTTAAAACATTGTTATGTGTCATTCTTTGAAATTCATTCCTAAATTAATTTTATGTTCATATTATTTGTTTTGGTTGGATGCCTTATTTTCTTGGGAGCCATGAATTTTTTTTACCATTTTTCGTCTTTTTAGCCTTTATACATTATATTTTTGTAAACAAATCTCTGTGCACTTAAAAATATTCTCCTATTAGCACAAGTTTTATTTTTACATTTGGAAGTATTGTATGTGTTTATATATTTAACTTTTTTCCTAATTCTTCTGTGTTGTTTTAACCCAGTTATTATAATCTGAATATTACTATTCATTGTCAAAGAATACAGTAATGAGTATCCTAATATGTCAAATAAACTTTCCATAATTAAAAGTATAATAGAGAATCTAGACCCAACTGGAATAATTTTTTTTTTACCATAGTCAAAAGTTTTGCTTTTGTTAAGGAATGTAAGCATTTTATCCTCTAATTGAGAAATCTGTTTTGGTTTGCTGGTTTTTGTTATTTTGGTGTTTGATGTTTAGATTTACAGTCTGTGTGCTTTTCTATTTCTTTCCTTAATACTCTGACTAGAACTACTACAGTGTGGAAAAGGATTGGTAAGAGAGAAAATTCTTGCTTCCAGTTTCCAGTTGCAGAGGTATGATGTAACTAGTTTTTTGTTTTTGAAAAAAACCCTTTGATGAGACTGAAGGAATTCCCTTCTATTTTACTTGTTCTAAATTTGTGCATTTTTTATGGTTACTGGTAATTGAACCCAAGATCATTGCACTGAGCTAAATCCCCAACCCCTTTCGTTATTTTTTTATTTTGAAATACGGTCTTGCTAAGTCACTAAATTACACAGGCTGGGCTCAAACTCATGATCCTCCTGCCTCAGCCTCCTAGAGTGCTCATAATTCCTGGTGTGTGGTACCACACCAGGCTTATAAGTTTTTATCATGAACAGATGTTGAATTTTGTCAGGTGCTTTTTCTGTATGACAGTGATCTCTTCCTCCCAGGGAATGTTAAAATGGTGGTTCATGTTGACTTTTGATTATTGAAGTCTGTCTTACATTTGCAGGGTAATTTGCACTTGCTTGGTTGGGTTCCATTAGAATTTTTGTATATTAATGGATTCAAATTTTTAATATTTTGTTGATAATTATATTTTTTTTTCATAAAGGATATTGAGCTGTGTAGTGTTTTTGTATTTTTGGAGTCAGAATTAGGTGAATTGGGAGTATTCCATCCCATTCCATTTTCTGGAAAGAAGCTGTGTAGAATTTGTAGTATTTAAATATTTGGTAAAATTTGCCATTGAAACTATCAAGAGTGTAGAAATTTGAGAAGGATTTTTACTATGAATTTAATTTTGTTAATTGAGCAAGCTCAGTGATCTATTTGGATAAGTTTTGTGATTTTTAAGAAATTGGTTCATTTGAATTGTTCAATTTATTTGTGTAGAATTGTTTGTATTATTTATCTTGTGTCATTGGCATCAGTGATATTCCATTGTTCTGATATTAGTAATTTGTGTCTTCTAACTAGAGCTTTATTAACTGTATAGCTGTTTTCAAAGAACTATCCTGTAAATTTATTGATACTGTCTGGGAATTTTTGTTTTAAGTTCATTAATTTCTGATCTTTATTATTCCTTTCTACTTGCCTTGGGGTTTTTTGGTTTTCTTCTAGTTTCTTATGATTAGAAGCTTGGCTTGTTGATTTCATGCTTTTCTAACAAAAAAGATATGCTATAAATTTGCCTTTAAGCACATACGTTTGTTTTATCTCCCAGATTTTGTTGTTATAATTTCCTTTTTTAAAATTGAGAATATTTTCTAATTTTCCCTGATACAAAGGGAAATTTATAAATTTCTAGTTGTTCAGAGGTTATTCCAGTTGTCTTTCTGGTGGTGTTTTTTTTTCCGTTAATTTTACACAACCTATTTCATTTGATTTCAGTTCTTTTAAAATTGTTAAAGTTTGTTAGGACCTGGGATATAGGACATCACAGCATTATTTGGGAAAGTGTGCAAATAAGCAGCTTCAGGGAGAGGCTAGGAAGTTAGGCCTTTTAGCTCATTTTCTCGGTGACACTAAAAATTTAAGACCTTCAAAGTGCTTGCATCTCTTTGTTCTCTGTCCTGCAGGGAAACTTGCATTAGCAAGTCTCTTCTGCTCTTAGAACATGATGATTTAAGAGACAAACTCGGTGGAAACCGTACAGTTGGGGTGCTATATGTGAGGTCCACATTCTTCACTCACAGAATGTGGGAGTTTTGGGATTCCTTCCTGATTGTAAGGCCAGTACTGTGACTGGGTTGGGAGTTGTGAAAAAGTGTGTTGGCTTTTCTACATGTTTCAAAATATCTTAATTGCTTAAGAGTCTGTCAGTATCTGGAGAGACTAATTCATGGAGGAATTGATCCATATCTACATGTTTTTTGTTTTTTGTTTTGGTACTGGGGATTGAACTTGGGACCTGGCGAGGCAGGCGGCGGAACCACTGAGCTAAATGCTCAGCCCTGTACATGTTTTCTTATTTTGTCCATAGCAAGAAGTAAAGTCAGGAATCTCATTCTGCCATGTTGCTTTTGTTGTAATTTTCTTATACTGTGATGTCTATCAGTATAATGTTGGTCTTATAGAATGAGTTAGGATATGTTCGTTCCTATTATATGTTTTTTTAAAGTTTGGGGAGGATTTAATTCTTTGAATGTTTGGTAGAATTCATCAATGACACCATCTGGTCCTGGACTTTTTTTTTTTTTTTTTTCAGAATTACTAATTTATTTTCCCTTAGTACTCTTAAAACTTTAGCTTCATCAAGTAACAGGCCAGACTTACAGAACAACAAGCTTTTCACAGGTTTAACCGTTTTACCAAATAATATGATGGTCTAGGGTATTTATTTCCCAATTTCTAAACCAGTTACAAAGTTGTATCTTCTTAGGTGCTAATTGGGACCAAACAACCCAGACACTGGTAGCATAATGAAGACTGCATTTACCATTTCTGTAGTGCCCTGAACACACCATGTTCCCAAAGGATTTCTTACTGAGAGATGTTTGAGTGTTACCCTTTCCAAAACAACCTGTTGACCAGCTCAGATTCTTAGCTCAAAATAAGGAATTTCTCCTTCAAGGAACCACTTAATACATACTGAGCTACTGTTCTCAGCCATCAACAAATTCAATTTGCTGTGGGTCCACACCTGACTTAGCTTTGGTTTCATTAGCACTTCCTATTTGTAGACGACAAACTTACTTCTGAACTCCTTATAAATTCCCATCATGACCTGGGGGACTGGGGAAGAGTGATAGCTCTTTTCTAGTTGGGGATTCTGAAAAGGGCAAAGACTTAGGTTTGAAACCATAAAGGAGAAAAAAACAAATTCTTTCCTGTTCTGCTAATGAAATACTTGTAGGCCAAGACCAGCAAATTCTGGTCCTGAAATTCTATTGCACTATTTTCAATACATTCAGATTTATATATATATATTTTCATTCAGATTTATATTACTCTTCTCCCTGAGTGTGGATTCACAGTTTGGTATAGGTACTTTAAGAGGTAGTTATGGGGGTGAAGCAGAAACAATGTTTACATATAGCAGCAGCTCATTTTCATGTCTACTTTGATCTTTCCCGGAGGGAGGAAACCCAGGGCCTCCTACGTGCTACACAAGCCCTACACTAAGCTATGTCTCCAGCCCGATTCCTGTCTGCTTGGACATATTGTAGTACATCAACCCCAGTGTTACCATCACTGTTCATAAAAGTAGCCCTTCCAGCTAAGCCCTGCACATTGTGTTTGTTTTGATATCAAAAAGACTCAACCCAGAACTTTTATTGAGCTAGTCATTAGGGAAAATGCATACAACTTCCAGCACCTCAAGGATGCCTTCCTCTCTGGACCTGGCATATGAAGTCAACCTTGTCAGCTCTGTGGACTCTGAGGATGGTTGTTAGGGGTGCTGACATCAGGGGAAAGATGGTCCTGGCTGCCAGCCTCAGGACGGGCTGCTGGAACACTCCTTTGTGAGCTGCTTGTGATGGGTTGCCAAGGCTTGTGGGCTGGATACTGTCAAGGAGAGGCAGCACTTCTGCAGAGCAGGCCCTGCAGAAGGTCCCTCTGCAGTCCTTACACACATTCTGTTCATCTGTAGGATTAGACTGCAGCCTGTGACTTTTCCAGGGGCTTTTTTAGTTAAACATTTTCCTCTTGAATTTTGTGCCTCATCTGAGTTGGGGTCTGGCTTGTGCGAACCCTTTCCTGGCAGGCTCCTATTGTTCAGTAATCTTTCTCTTTTCTGTTTTAGCTCTAAGTCAAGCTGGTTCTGCTGCTGGGTCAGCTCCTCCACTTCCAGCTGCAGACTGTTGATCTTGTCCCTGAAGTCCTGTTTGAAGAGTCAGTTGTCCAACTCCGCAGACTGACCACTTTGCTCAGCCTGGCACAGTC